CAAAAAAAAAAAAAAAAAAAAAGGAAGAAAGAAAATATATTAAAAAGAAACTTTTCCATAGGGTAGACGTAAAGCTCATGTGCAACTGAATATGTTAAACTATTTCAAACTGCACACAAATGTTATGTCCAGCCTATATATTCATTAAAAAACATAAAATATAGCTGTAGCTCAGTAAGGGCACCAGCCACATATACGGAAGCTGGCAGGTTAGAGCCTGGCCTGGACCTGCTAAACAGCAAAGACAAGTACAACCAAAAAATAGTCAGGCATTGTGGCAGGTGCCTGTAGTCCCAGCTACTTGGGAGAGTAAAGCAAGAGAATCACTTAAGCCCAATAGTTTGAGGTTGCTGTTAGCTGTGATGCCACAACACTCTACTGAGGGCAACAAATTGAGACTCTGTCTCCAAAAAAAAAAAACATAAAATAGCAAAGAAAAAATATCAGAAGTTCCCACATATGCCTCAAATCATACTCTCAAGAGGAATTAGCCTAAGTACTAACCTGATATGTCCAGAAGGCCAGTGCCCGGGAGCTAATGTCCAACACAATCTCTGGTCGCAGTCCTGCCAATACCATAGCTTTATATTCCTCTGATGGACTGAGTTCTGTGCGGACAATATCTAGCTTTCCAGAAAGGGTACTGTTGCAGGCAGGACAGATAGCTGGTGAACGACTAAACTCACCACTACCATGCTGATCACAGAAGATGTGAGAGCAAGCAGTGACCCATGCATAACCAGAGAGTTTGGTGCGACACTTTCTATAATTACAGAGCAGCATGTCTTCACACAAAGACATAATAGGATAATGAGGTCTCCAGACGCTGAAGAGACCTAATAAGAAGTAAATGAAAAGGTCAGATAAGTCAAACTACAATGCAAATGATATAAACAATGAGTAAAAAATAAATAAAATATTCATGTTTTCATCCTATTGTGATAAAATAATTCATATTTTGTTTCCATATTTATTCTAATCAACATATTATATTCATTTCAGTCACTCAACAATATTTTTTGTGCTCCTTTGTCCTTTCTTTTTCCTAAAAAAAAAAAAAAAGAGTCTCACTTTGTCACCCTTGGTAGGATGCTGTGGAATCATCTCACAGCAACCTCAAACTCCTGGGTTTAAGCGATTCTCTTGCCCAAGTAGCTGGACTACAGGCACCAGCCACAACGCCTGGCTAATTTTAGAGACAAGGTCTTGCGCTGGCTCAGACCGGTCTCAAACCTCTGAGCACAGGAGATCCACCCGCCTCAGCCTCCGAAGTGCTGGGATTACAAGTGTGAGCCACCTTGCCCGGCTTCTAAAAAAAATTTAGGAAAAAGTTAAAGACAGGTTACAAATCTTTTTTACAAAGGTAAAAAAATAAATAAATAAATAAATAAATAAATCTTACTAAGGTCAAAACTAACATGTACAGCGAAAAGAAGTTTTGGAACATTTACAAGGCCAGGCACAGTGGCTCACACCTATAATCCTAATATTTTGGAAGATTGAACCAGAAAGATAACTTGAGGTCCAGAGTTCAAAACCAGTCTGAGCACAACAGCAAGACCCCTGCACTACAAAATAATTTTTGTTTTTAATTAGCTGGCTGTGGTGGCCCATGCCTATATGTCCAGCTACTTAGGAGGCTGAGGCAAGAGGATTGCTTGGGCCCAGGAGTTCAAGGTATGATATAGTCACTACCACCTAGCCCCAGGCAACAGAGGGAGACCCAGGCTCAAAAGAAAAAGAAAAAGAGGACGGTGCCTGTGGCTCAGTGGTTAGGGTGCCGGCCCTATATAACAAGGGTGGCAGGTTCCAACCTGGCCATGGCCAAACTGCAACAAAAAAATAGCCAGGCACTATGGCCGGTGACTGTAGTCCCAGCTACTCGGGAAGCTGAGGCAAGAGGATCATCTAAGCCCAGGAGTTGGAGGTTGCCACAGCACTCTACCAAGAGCAATAAAGTGAGACTCTGTCTCTATAAAAAAAAAAAAAAGAAAGAAAGAAAGAAAAGATAAAGAAGCAGTAGTTACAAAATACAAACAAGTAAAAATCAAAGCAGTGTTTTCTACCATTCCTCAATAACCTAAACAAAAACCCAAATTTATTACCCATTCATACTTCTTAGAACTTGTTAATTTTTTTGACATAGTCTCACCCTGTCGCCCTGGGTAGAGTGCTATGGTGACATAGCTAACAGCAACCTCAAAGTCTTGGGCTCAAGTGATCCTCTTGTCTCAGCATCCCAAGTATCTGGGACTATAGGCAACTGCCACAATGCCCAGGTATTTTTCTATTTTTAGTAGCGATGGGGTCTCGCTCTTGCTCAGGCTGGTCTCAAACTCCTGAACTCCGGTGATACACTCACTTCTGCTCTCACAGTGCTAGGATTACAGGCATGACCAACCTCCCCTGGCCTCCTACAATATTTTAGTAGAAAGACCATATATGACACTTGACAAACTTAAAAGTCCATGCACTGATTTCAGTCATTCTTTAGTGCAAAGTTTTATGCTGTACTTTTAGGCTTTTCACATGTGCAGGTCTCACATTTTCCTGACTTAAGAAAAGCAGCCTTTTAGCACTGCATGGAAGCTAGCCTAATATATGAGTAATTCACCATGATATAGACAGAAAGTCTGCATAAACTTTGCTTTTCTGCAGATATTTTATGGTGAGTTAAACAATTAATATAAACACTGTACTATTCAATGCTATGCTTCTGCTTAAAACATTTATAAAAATAAAGCAATATTCTGGACATACCAAGCCATATATTGCACAAAATAATAGTAATACACCAAGGAACAATGTTTACATCTATAGACTGACAAATTGTCAAGAACGTTGTTTTAGGGAGAGAGGAGAAAGGCACGGTGGTGGAATTGTTGTGCTCCCACCTAATGGGCACAATATAAGGGTATATGGCACACCTCCTGGGTGCAGGCCATAACTACAACAGGGACTCTACCTAACAAATACAAACACTGTAACCTAATTGTACCCTCATGCTAATCTGAAATTTAAAATATATATATATATTTTAAAAAGGAATGTTGCTTTGTTCACAGGAGCTAACAGGGACACTCTGACACCTTTATCCCAAATGTTCCCACTGGGTGAGTTTCCCCAGGTAAATGCCACCTGACAGCCAGAGTTAGGAGGCCTATCTCACTTTCCAGCAGAGCAATGGGCATACTGGAAGCAGATAAGCTGAGAACAGTTCTGAAGCTCAGGCCTTTCTCAGGCAGAGCGAGAGGCATAGCCAATCACAAGTTTCCCACGGGAGGGGAAAAAAGCCGATTTAATGGGCAACACAAGCCGAGGAGCAATTTTTAGAGAAAAATACCTACAAAAAGTCCACTCGAATTTTCAGCCTGCTTTCCCCGCTTAACAGAGAAAATAATAATAACAGTAATAACACAAATAAAATACTTAATCTGACGTGCCTTAGAAAAAGCGCGGGAAACCGCCTCCACACCTTCAGGACCAGCAAAGATTCTCCGTGCGAAGGCGCCCGTCGACACTACGTCAAACAGCGCATGCGCAGTCGCCGCAAGGCCTGCCGGGTGGCCACCCTGGGGATGGCGCGCAGGATTCTGGGATGTGCGGACGAGGCTGTGGCAGTCAGACCCCGCGCCTGAGGGCCAAACGCGTCTGGAAGGCTGCGAAGGCGTGAATCTTGTGTTTTCTAGGAAAATCGGGTGCATTATAGTGGGCAGCACATACTTTCTAAGTATCAGGAGAAATTCTAAGAAATTGTGTGATATGGGGTGGTGCCCGTGGCTCAAGGAGTAGGGCACTCCCCCCCATATGCTGGAGATGGTGGGTTCAAACCCAGCCCTGGCCAAAAACTGCAAAAAAAGAAATTGTGTGATACCTGTAGTTGGACAACTGTCACGTCCATTTCATTTTCTATCCATCTTGGACTAAACATCTTTCCAGTTTTACACATCCTCCTTACACATTTAAAGAAATTATAACTTTGACTCTGCATTACGAACATTCATTACAGACCAGGCGCGGCGGCGCTTACACCTGTAATCCTAGCACTCTGGGAGGAGGAGGCGAGTGGAATTACAAGAGGAAGATCCCAGTCTCTACCAAAAACAAAAACTAGCCTAGCGCTATTGTGGGCGCCTGTAGTCCTAGCTACGTGGGAGGTTCAAGAGGATCTCTTGAGCCCAAGAGTTTGAGGTTGCTGTGAGCTATGACGCCAGGGCGACAAAGTGAGACTGTCTCCAGCTAGATAGATAAACATTCATTACAGCACTTGAAATTAGGCAGTAAGATTGGGTGTCACAACCTTAAGGTGATCTACCTGTGTGCTGTTAGAATTTAAACTTATAGGCGGCGCCTGTGGCTCAGTTAGTAGGGCGCCAGCCCCATATACCAAGGGTGGTGGGTTCAAACCTGGCCCAGGCCAAACCGCAACAACAACAAAAAATAGCTGGGTGTTGTGGCAGGCGCCTGTAGTCCCAGCTACTCGGGAGGCCCAAGAGTTGGAGGTTGCTGTGAGCCATGACTCCACAGCACTCTACCCAAAGGGATAAAGTGAGACTCTGTCTCGTAAAAAAAAAAAAGAATTTAAACTTATAAAGATAAGCAGAAAATGACAGTTGTGAAGGTGAGCAAAGAAAAGGAACAGGTAACAGCAGTAGAGTAAAATTACTACCATACAAACACCACCAACAATTACAGGACCGCACACAGGTAGATCACCTTAAAGCTGTGACAATGGATCCTATCGCTCAATTTAGATTAAAATTAAGCTGAAGAATCGGCTCGGCGCCAGCCATATACACCAACAGTATCGGGTTCAGACCCGGCCCAGGCCAGCTTAACAATGACAACTACAACAAAAAATAGCAGGGACTTGTGGTGGGCGCCTATAGTCCCAGCTACTTGGGAGGCTGGGGCAAGAGTTTGAGGTTCTTGTGCTCTGTGACGCTACAGCACTCTACCAGGGGCTACATAGCTTGACTCTGTACCTGTGGCTCAAGGGGTAGGGCGCCAGCCTGTGGCAGATTCAAACCACGCCCAGGCCAAAAAAAAAAAAGGGGGGGTGTACTCAGAGCAAGGGGCCTAAAGAATGGCTCCTCTGTTTATAATATGTCCAACAGGAAACTGGGATCATTGTGATCTGGGGCACAGAACTTGTGGCCTCTCTATGAACAAATTCCCTACATGTGAAGAAGAAAAAAAATGATAAAATGTATGTGGTGGATGTATGGGTGATTACTGTATAATTCTTTCAACTGTACTGTATGTTTTAAAAATTGCCTAATACATTCTTAGTAAAGCATCACAAGAATGGAGAAGAATCCAATGTACTCAATCCTAATCTGAAGCCCGTAGACGATCTAATACATACTCTCATAAGAGAAAAACTCAAATCAATTGGGGGGGGGGTGCAGTGGAATGAGGGCGAGAGGAGGAAGGAGGGAGATGGGAGGGTTATGGTGTATGGCACAACTCTTGGGGGCAGGACACAATTATAAGAGGGGCTTTATCTAACACATGCAATCAGTGTAACATAATTCTTTGTACCCTCAATGAACCTAAAACAATAAAAAAAATTGCCTAATAAAATATTGGAAAACTAAAAAAAAAAAAACAAAGCTGAGGAAGAGAGGCCTCAGATTATAAGCCTTAATGATGTCTTTTGTAGCCACCTTTCCAGAGGTAACCCTATTATGAATTAGTAACAGGTACAATCAGCTAAGGGAAACCAAACTCTGCAAACCCCTTTGTGAATTCATAATACGGACTAAACCTTTGTCCTTCAATTAAACTGCCTTAGTTAAGCAACTTCCTACTAGTTTTGTCTGTTTGCAACTAA